ACATTACTTGCTCAGTGCCTGTAATTATCTACACAAAACCCCGTGTTTGCTTTAATGAACACTCGGATTCAACAAGATTTTAGGTCAGGCCCGGCGACTTCGTTGAATCCGAGTTCCACTGTACTCACATATATTTCAGGTGCAGAGAAGCCTTGGACTGGAGGCTCACAGAATATTCCTCTCTTACTAAAAAAAAGAAACCACTCATGAGAAGCCCCCGCAAGTGAATCAACTCACTATGGTACGTAGGTTGGTTGTTCAAGGACGCCACTGGTAGGACCTACTTTTCTTGCCCTTCACTTTGTGGTTCCTGATTTGCTTTTTCCCTGCACTAAATGGTCGTTAATAAGTCAGTATTGTCAGTGTGCTTTTCTTTACCTAAACAAAGGTGTGTAAGCCTACTCAGTTTGAAACCAAGTCTACACTAGCATGTAGCATTCACCCTGGCAGTGCCTCAGCCAAAGAAAAAACTTTTTAAAAAATTATGGTAGGCCTACCAGCATTGTTCAAAATTCAATTGTGTCATCATCATTTTTGCAGAAAACTAATGAGGGTCTCAAAAGCGGAATGACAGACACTATTGTGAGGCAGCGAGGTGAAATCAGGGGCCTGCCAAAACAAGGAAAGTGAAGAAACGTATTTTCCAGCACCATTTGAATTTTTTATCGAATTTTTTGTTTTTTTGGCTCCATTCCTTTCTTCATGCCCATTAAAGAACACAGAGTGATTAAAGCATAAAAGATGTAGATGTTTAAAATTTCAGTTTCCACGGACTCACAAGCTTAGGAAATAATGCAAATTTGGCAGCCATTTTCTCGCTAATTTATACACCTCTGAAACCAGGCGACCCCCACCTCCTTCATTCGCCAATATCTTGACTTGCACAAAAGATAAATATTTTTTTCCATCAAATGCAAGGCAAAATAGACAGGCTTTAAGATGACACCAATAACACCCAAGTTCCCCAAAACTGTCATGTGCCTGATTCCATTGCGTTGTGACACCTATGGCCCTCACATAGTACGGCTACATCACTCACAGCACTTCCCATATAATGGTTTGGGTTTTTTTAGCAAGAGTTTTACGGCACTTGCAACACAATAAGGCCATATAGATTAGAGGTGTTACAAGAGAGAGACTGACAAGCACAAAAAAGGAGGAGATCAGGACCATAGATGTTTGATAGGAAAGAAGGAGCAAACCACACCAGAGCACCCACCAACAACCCACCCATTTAATGTCCCAAACAGCACTTGCAACACAAGCAGGTCTTATATTTAATAAGCGCCAAAGCTTAGAGGTGTTATATTAAGAGAGTAACGAACAAAAATGAAAGAGAAGAGATCAGGGTGATAGAAGTTCAATGGGAAGGAAAGAGCAAACAACACCAGAGCATCCATCAGCCATCCACTGTCCCCATTTGATAGCCTAGAAGAACCAACTGACAAAGGTTCGCAACAGCTAAAACAACACAGGCTCAGTTTGCTTTAAGTGAAGAGGATCCAGTCATGGAACACATATATATACGAGTTCAATACCAGATCAACAGATCTATATAGATCGGCACACCCTCTCTCTGCATAAAATACTAAAACTAACAGGACACACAACACATTATTAATTATAACATCAAGAAAGAAATACAGTATAGCACGGATAGCTTGAATTCGTTGGGACCAGCATCTGTAATTTGAGGGATCAGTAGTTTGAGGGATATCTTACAAAGATCAAGAAGGGAAAAAAATGGGACCGACATAAGAGTGATTTCAAGTCTTCTTTGTTCGACCTATCCGTGTTATAGTAATACTGTATGTATACGAAACTTTCTAACCAAAGACAAATCCAAAGGAGCAAGGGGAAAAAATCCAAATAAAAAAAATTTGAGTCTTTTTTTTTTTACTTTTATTCAACCATTCACATAATTTACTCGTCCTCCTTGGACCTGAGACGGGCATTTGGATTCGTCACTTTAATGGCCAGCTGCTGAGCACGCTCCACGATGTCTTTCCTCTTCTTGCTTGACACGTTGTGGGCAATCTCAGCGGCAAAGGTACGGTTCTGCATGAGCAAAACTTCCAACTCCTGACCAGAGAAAGAAAAAGACAATTAATGACAAATCCTTCATCGAGGAAGCAAGAAAACAAAACTTTATCTGGAAAGCATAGATCAACACCCTCAAAGTGAATTTCTTTATAATCGTGAGTTCAAAGAAAAGCCACTCACAAAAATACAATAAAATTCTGACTACGACAAAAAATAAAAAACTGTTCAGCCTCCACAGATTCATTCTTCTAATGTTAATGCAAATCAAATCAGTCTTAGAGTGGCCCTGGTGTCACGCAAGATCGTTAGAAGTCATATATTGTCTGTGTGGGGTGGACAGACTTGCAACGAAAATAAATGATAGAATGAAAAGTAAATACTGGCACAAGATCCACTGCAGATATGTGACGTACAGTCAAACCTCATGGTGCCCCCTCCATCTACCGCCAGGTTTCGCCAAAACAAATAACATGTTATTTCGGAAGAAAATTTTTCGTTCAGCATGCAAAAATATATTACACTTCAAAATGGGAAAAGTCGAGGCTTTCTAAACTTCGAGGAAATACTTTTAGAATAGATCTAGTTAAAAATTTGTTTTTCAAAGGATTTTGCCAATTTCCCAAAATTCCAAGAGTTTTCCAGTTTTCCAAGACCCGTACGAACCCTATTAGCTCAGTCACTTTTCAAAACAGCATATAGCAGAATCTGACAATAAGCCGTCCATATGCCTCTTTTCCATAAAGCATAAAGATAGACCTACATGTGAGCCTCAACCAGATTGTCTGAAAATTTTGCACACCCCCTCCCCCCCCCATAAGAGCTTTTGTGGGTGTCATAAGGAAAGACTTCCGAGTAACCAACGACCACCCCAACAAACACAATAAAGAAGAGACCTAACCCTACCCCTAGGTGTACCCCAAAAAAGAACCTGCAACGGGCCTCATGTACAAAGGCCAGCACAAGTCCAAAATGAAAAATTTTTTTAAAAAACCCACTCCAAAACAAACAAGGAGCATAAATATGGCCTACATCTACATTGCTATAACACAAAAGAATTGGAATATGAATCCTCCATATAGATCTAGTAATCTAAATAGATCTAGATCTAGACCTTGTAGAAGTGAATAGGAATAGGCCTTGAGGCTTGAACTAGAAATCCGCATCCGATTCCGAACAGAGAGGGACTCAGCTGAGTCTAGAATCTAAAAAAATAAATAATTCACGCACCTGATGAAATGCTTTTTACCAACATTAATATTATAGCAAAACCTATGATAGGGTTTGACACAATAGAATTGGAATATGAATCCTCCATTGAGGTCTATAATGATCTAGATCTAGATCTAGATCCTATTAGAACAAGTGAGTCGGACTTGAATGAATCCACACGATCTGAACAATTGAATTTGTCAACAAACGAAATTCAAAATGGCCGCTCGAGCACGAAACTGAAAGTAGATAATTTAGGTCGTCGTCCTTTTTCGTATTCGCATTTCTACTCAGGTTCCGACAATTGTGTCGGAAACGCCGACGTCGGCACGAAAACGAAAGTGCCGACAAAGCCGACAGGAGAAAAGGGGGGCACTGGCAATCAGTCAGGCCTCGCACTACGCACATTAACTGATACAGGTGGGCCTAGCGATAGCATCAGCCAGCTCGCGGGTCTGGTCGCGATTGTCCGATTTCAGACGATTGTCAGCAAACATGCAGGTCTAGTAAAGAGTAAATATCCTAGAGGGGTTGCTGTGTAATCCCAAAAACATCAGGAAACCTCTTTCAATGAATGATGCACAAACTGCCAACCTTTTTTAAAAAAAGATTTATCTTCATTTTGATTTACTAGACATAGCGGCCCATGCAGATAAAGCAAAATAATCATCACCACCAGGTGCCAGATCTGCGACAGACATGAACGATCATGGTTCTCCATTCATTCTTTTGTTCAGATGCTCTCAACTAGTCAGTCTTAGTCAGCCAAAGTTACATTATCCTGACCCCCCTCCCCAAAGTAGGTACTGACTTGAGTATTTTCAGTTTTGGTAGGAATGTTTAATTTTGTCTGAGTAGCAGCTGAAGCCTACTTTTAATCGATTTAAGAACCACCAGGGGATCTTTAGCATGCACAACTTGCACTTGCACACAGGACCTCGTAGCATAGAATGAACTATACATTCTACCCAAAACAAAACAAACAAAAATTTAAGCAAAAATGAGCACAACTACTAAAGTCGTCATAATTATTTCCAAATCTGCTTACCCTGACATTGTGAACCAGAAATCTCTTGAATCCATCAGGGCAAACGTGTTTGCATTTCTTCCACGTTCCATAACCAATGTTGGGCATCTTGTACTGGCCCTTGAAGCGCCTCCTCACTCTGTTGTCAATACCCTTGGGCTTACGCCAGTTGGACTGCGGGACAAAGAGAGTTAAAAGTACATCAATCACAAAACTTATACAACTCAAAACAAAAAATTAACCAACCTAACCCCCCCCTAACCAAAGGCACCTACTTTTCCTCACAACTATCAAACTGGGTTACAAAACTAAACAAGATGGCCTGACAGCATGTGAATGGTGCGCGATCAACAGGCAGCATGTGATTGCCTGCCTACAACTAAACAGATTATAAATAAGTTCAGTGTAGGTTTTTCCTGTGCTGTACCCCTTTGTTAAGTTGTAAAGGGGGTTATCAGAGAACAGCAAACAGCACTGATTCCTTTGTAAGTTCAAAGTTACATCGATTCTGTAACAGGAGTAAATTTGACTTATTTCTGCCCAGTCTGTTCAGAATTGGAGCAGTTTCCACGCAAAGATGTTTTCAAAATTCATGAAGTTTAGTAATGCCCCACAAGCCTGTGTCTCCCCATCGGTAACATTTCAAGCAATGTCTATGACACAATTTATGACAAAACGCAATGGAGTCACAAAGGTGGCCGTCTAAGACAGGTGTTGCAGTGGAATCCTGTTATAACGAGAGGGAGGGGACCGGAGCAAAATGTCCGTTATAGCAGGATCCTCGCTATAAGGATCCAGTAATAAAATAAAGGGAAACTGTAAAGTAGGCCAAATCTATGATTTTGCAGTTCTGTTTATTTCCTTTTGATATCTCCCCTGATGATGATTTGGTTTCAACATGACCTTAAGGTCTTACTTGATCAAAAATCTAATCAGGTTTCTTTCTCTAGCGCTAGATCTAGCGATGTTGACTGACAGCTCGGCATTGGCGATCAGAAAGAAAGGGCTCGCGGGTAATTCGCCCGCTGTGTTTTCCCCCACCCCACCTCACCCTGTGGTGCATTCCGCCAGCTTGCGCATGTCACTCATTCGCTCCACCCATCACATTGCTGTGACCTCTCTATCTTCATCGGAGAAGTGAGAGGCATGGCAGGCCTTGATAATCTAAACTAAGCTTACACTGGCTTATCAAGCGATGCGTTCTGCTTGTCTGCGCATGCCACACCCTCCCTACTCAGTCGCTCCGGCCTTCATTGTTGACACACATTGGCTCTCCCATTCTTTGTTTCGCTAGATCAACAGCAAGTTTCTCAACTGGCGAAGTTTTTTAATCATGAATAATTGGCCTATGCACTGTGCACAGCAGCAGCAATATTCCGCTATAACCGACTCGCATGTTTGTCCGATTGCGCTATAGCAGTATTTTATTTACAAAGGTAAAGAAGAGAAAAAAACGGGGTTTTAGAATAGTGTCTTTATAACAGACTTCTCGTCTTTTCCGGACTCGTTATAAGAGGACTCCACTCTATTACTTGGTGTGATAGGGGTTGTGTGTTAAAATAGGGTGGCCGCGGTCGCGCTGGACAGGTGCCCGTTTTACAGTTAAATAATATCGAAAAAACGCAAGCGGGGAAATGGAAAGTGGCCGACTTATAGAGGTGGCCGTCAGGGCAGGTTCGACAGTACTAAACAAATTCCAAAAATCCTGCAAAAATAAAAATTAGAAAGAAAAATGAATGTAGTTTCAGAAAAATATAACTTTATGTATACGCAAACTGTTGGAAATGTTGTAACTTTAGTTCAATCAGGGTGTCTGACCCGTCACTCTCACTCTCAGCCTCGCGTCGGGCCGTAGATCTAAATTCTATATCTGATAAATCTGAATCACCCAAACTCTTGCTACGTTTTCATCAATATCTGATTCATCATATACTTGTTTTTGCTCAAATCCATCATCGTTTCCTTTTTCAAACTCAGTTGTGTTGCTTTCCAAAAAGTCGAGACCCCTTCGACGTGTCGGAAACGCAATCGCACTTCGACTGCTCTAATACTAAAACTACTGGCCCGAAAAAAAACGTTACGGTATCAAACGGAAGAAAAAAAAATTTGCAATAACTATGTCAATCAAAATCTCAGCTCCAGAGTCTCGTCAAGGAGAGACTTCGTTATTAAAGACACTAGGTCCGGGCGAGTTAGGGTGGAGCTTACAAGAAAATTCATGGGTGATCCCGGGTGAGTTAGGGTGTAATGTGTTATGCAATCTCTAATATAACTCATTTACCAAATACATACCTTGACCTTTCCATATCTGTCAGACTGGTGACGGATAAACTTCTTGGTCCTTTTCTTGACCACGACTGGTTTGACCAATGGTCGGATGGCCATTGTTGCTGAAAATACAAAATATAGCGAAACAAAGATGAGAAAAGACCGTAAAACAATGTCTAACATTTAAGTCATGATTTGGTATTCCCCAAACTGCATTCAAGGCATGAACGTAGCCTGCAGACTACGTTCACGACGCCGTGAACGTGGCCACTGTGAAAGTTTTAACTCAATTATTCACAAAACAGGAACCTGGATAATAGACAAATAAAAATTGGGGGCTCTTGTAATAGAAATTGCCTTCCTGTTTGTTTCCATAAGAAACAGAAATAACTGTTAAGGACAAAAGTGGCCATGAAGGCCATTAGCCAGCAATATTGTTCTGCCTTTTTTGTATTAAAAATTTATTTTGGGCTAACTGAACTTTGGTGGACCCACTGTGTTCCTGGGGTATGAGGGGGCATGTTAGTGGGGGGTTTCAGGGAATTATCAATTGGAACGGGAAGGCAATTACCAAAGAGGGGG